AAGATAAAAGTTTCTCCAATCTGAAAAGATGGGAGAGTACTTGAGTATCGTGTTTTATGATCATCTTAATGATTATGAAAACCATGTCACAATTGATCCTTTAAGGACATCTTAGTGCATTTGTATGGCTAAGAAGAGGAATCGTGAATTGTTGAAATGGTTTAAATCTAGAAGATGAGTCATACATCGTTCCAAAATCAAGTCTTAGAGTTACACTCCACGATTGTAACCTTGAGTGACATAATCTTAAGAAAGTTTTAAAACACTTATCAAATGTAGAGTAAAAGTTTTCTACTCTTGTAGATTTGAAATTGGTAAGTTGCGATGTTTTGGATAAAACAAAAACCAACTAAGGCCAATTGTGTGAAGTGTTTATCTTGATAAGAATCTGCACTAACTCTTGAATATTTGTTTTGTCAAGGAATGGTTCTTGAAAGAGAATCTTATATGTCAATAGGTCAGTGGGAGTCTTAAAGATCTTGAAAGTTTCAAGAACTAATCAAGGGTAAACCTATTGTTAGTCACTAGCACACGACTTGAGGTTTGTAACCTATCGTGTAGACATATTCTTGTTTCTGTGCCCATTCCAGTTAAAGTTGACTATGCATGTGAGTTCTATGTGTTCTCAGCTGTTTGCATAACAACTTGGAAGCAATGGTAGGCCCTTGCTGCCAAGTGGCAAGAAATTAAGATTGAACTAGTTCAATCCATATGAGTTTGGATTTGTTACTAACCTTGTCTTTTGATTATGGCTTGACAAATTCACATGGATAGGAACACATACACCATAAAATCTAAGTGTCATAAGGTTTTTCTCCAATTCATGAAAATGATGGTGAGGAAACGCTTTCACTAAATAGATTTTAAGGAGATAGCAGTTGTGATATTTTCATTATCAAATTTGATTATGATTACGACATACCTTTTCATAATTCGAATTGTGAGGAATGGCAAAAGTCTAAACATTTGAGACTTATTGTTGTAAGTTCTTAAATTGTTTAGACACACATGTGAGCTATCTAAGGAAAGGTGTATGAGTTTGAAAAGCCTAGATAAAGTCTTATCAAAGCATCTCGTATCAGAAATCTGAACTTTGGTAATGAAAGTCAATAAGTATTGATTTCTAGAAGTCCAGCTGATTTTTGGGTACATGTCATAGCTAGTGGGAGCATAAATGTTATGCTAGTAAAAGTAATGATTATTATGCTAGTGGGAGCATAATAAATTATGATGAATGTTGCAAGTTAGCTATGTTAATTATAGAAAACAAAAGTTTCAATTCGCAAGTTGCAGGGTTTGAAAAGTTGTTTTGCTATAATTAAGGGAGAGGAATTCATACTTCATTTCAAATCTAAAAGCTTAGATTGAGATTTTAATCAGATTTAGTCAAATATATATATATATATATATATATATATATATATATATATATATATATATATATGAATGTTATGTTGGAATGGTTCAACATAAGGAAATTCTATATATGGATGTGTTAATTGCGTTCTCAAAATTCGACAATGATTACGGCATCCCTTTTCATAATTCGAATTATGAGAACATGACAAATAGAAATAGAAATATTATAGCAAAAGACTGGTCTAGTATCATGTATTTATGTGAGACATCATGAATCGTGTCCCATATGCTTAAGATATAGGATCGATTATACGTGCTGTAATATTCATCCGTTCTAAATTTTCAAAATGCCTAGGGCATTAAGAGGGAAAAGGACTAGAACTGGATATGACTAAAATGGTTAAGCAATTGTCGAGGACAATTTGAGGTTTACCAAAGATTGGTTGCTCATGGACACTTGGAAGTATGGTGTAAATTTTGGAAAGGACCATATTGACATATTCTGAAAAGAGGCAACTCTTGTTTAGAAGTGATAGTCAAAATGGGAATATGGAAATGTTTTCATAAGTGGAAGTCATTCTTTAAATCTGTGTAAGATTAGAAAACTTAATGCAAGAAGGATGTTCAAAGGAATGTACTTGGAATGTAAGACATCGTTTCCATGGAATTGCTCTCCATTGGAATACTTTGTAATGTCTGTTACCAAGTATCTGTGACTTTTGTGCATAGTCATTACAAAAGGATCATTGCATATGAGTTTAGAATCTAACAGATTATAGTAAATGACAAGAATTTAGTATTCTTACATTTACGATAAAGATTTGGAATTGTGAAATGAGCATCATTGAAATGTTGTCAATTGATCTATTCCACGAAGAAAGGACCATAGACAAACATAGTGTACATGCTTGGAGCATGGGACAACTATTGTTTTAATTCAAGTATTAAGTTGATTATTCGAAACATTATACAATGAATAATGAGTAATCAATATGGCACTCAAAGTTTTGGGGCCATATAGGATTAGTATTATTCTTGTGTTTCACTTTGCATGTTTTGACTTCCCGAATAACTAGGTTATTCAAACCATCCACAGTTAATCATACTTTGGAAGTATGTATTGAGGAAAGACTGTCATGAATGGGTCTGTAGTTTGTCTAGGTGTTTTACACATAGTTGTAGTGTTCATGAGTGCTCCTGGAATAAGATTCGAGTATTGGATTCAACCCACGCTCATCTGAATCACTTCATGGATTTTATCACGAGTGATTGTGAGACAATAATATCTTATATTCTTGAAATGGAGACATGTGAGTTGTAATTTACAAGTCGGTTGCACATTGACATATGTAAATGCACCAGTAACTTGGTTTTATAAAACATATCGTTGTGTGTGATTTGGTGAGTAAGTAAAAGCAAGAATTTGAGTCGAAGTTTATCCATTCCTTTTACCCTTGGAGGGATAAAAGCGATATCTGTGGGCGCCTCAATGATTTAGTGATGACAACCCTAAGTGCCCGGCCGGGCCTGGACTGATTTGATTTGTTCAATTAGTCGGTCATCATAAATCAGAAATCGGGAAACAACAAATGGACAGAGAGAATGATTATAATCCATGTCTCATTCCATATGATATCTAGAATGGAGGAATATATGATCCCTTATCTAATGGACGCGTCATTGACTAGGTCAGAGTTCGACAGCGGCTTTTAAGAGCTACGATTGCTAGTCGGTATTTTGGAGTCATACTTGCAATAATAGTTATTAGACTTATCCATGTGAGAGACAGTTGGATTAGTTGTCTAAGCCCATAACTATAATTGGTATGTACTTGAACCGAGAGTAGCATGGTCCATTTGGGTTGCATATCATCAGGACAATTTGTTAGGATGGACTTTTGAGAAGAGGTTATTTATGGTTTATTAAGATATTATAAGTTCTAATATATTAATATGAAATCATATGATTTAATTAGTATTGATCATGAATTAGTTTGGAATTAATTTAATGATCAAAAGAGACTAATTAAATTAATGGGGACTAATTGTGTAAAGTAGTATATTTATATGATGGGCTTGTGATCCATGTTGGACTAAGTTTATGTATGGATACATAAAGAGTTGGGCCACATGAACCATGGATCATAAACCCATAGGTATGGAATACGGTTAACCCATGACCCTTGGAATCCTACATATAAATATGTCCTCCATAGCCTAAAAACGCCTCTAACATGTTCTTGGAGTTCATGGAGGTGTTTTAGTGCAAGAAGATTCTCTCTCAAGAGCCATCTTTGTCCTAGATGTGTTGTGATTCCATTTGAGGCATTCACACTATTGGTGCTAAGTTCTTAAAGGCCAAATACATCAAGGATAGCAAGCTACAACAAAAGGTATGTCATCTAACTTGTTTTATTACTCAAGTATCAAAGTTTTGTATGCTAGTTAGGGTAATACATTGGTAAAGGAAAGTTTGCATGTATAATAGAGAAAACATAGATCCAAGGTATTTAGGGTTGCATGTACACCTTAGGAGTGTTAGAATGCTTAAAACCCTTCACAACTAACCTCCATAGAATGTGTAACCATAAGTAAGCAAATGTGAGATAGCCACCCGAATAGATGGTCCTATTTTAGAGCCACAACCAAACAAGGAACATGCATGAGAGCCTAGACCAAGAGTTCTCAGGCTATCCTACCTGACCACAAACAACCCCTCAGGGCACTCCTTAGATGATAACCAACAAGCACATATACATACAGTCCTATAGATTATTATAGCAAAGCAACATACTCAATACTTGGAGACAGATCTAACAGATCACTACAGCATAGCAGCATACTCGATATCAGAACATAAATCTAGTAGGTCACTACAACATAGCAGCATACTCGATGCCAGAAAACAGATCCCTAAGGCATTCCTCTACTACTACCAGATAACCAAAACTAGTGGGTCGGCATTGGTTCCTTCAACCCACCACTACAAGAAAAAGACCCTTTTACGACGCGCAAACCACGACACTCATTAATTTATGTTACGCAAAAGAGAGTGACATTAAAAAAGTGTCATCTCTTCAAAAAATTTAAGGATTTAGGTCACGCATTATTGCGTGCCCTTAAATTAGTGTCTTATGTAAAAAAATTAAAAACACGGAGGGCACTTGTGCGTCCTCTGTGAATGTCGTTTTATATTTTTGTTTTAAGTAACGTGCGTCTCCTTCCAAATTTTTTAAACCTCTGCCTTCCAAATCGATCCTCACACTAAATGGTTCGGCGGCTGCAACTCGTTTCAATTGTAGCGCCGATCGACAACTACGACCGTCAATCGAAGCTACCAATTGAACAACCCCTAATCGACACCTCCACCTTCTCGTCTCTCCTTCTCCACCAGGTTTCTTTTACGCCGGGAAATTTTGTAACTTATATTTTCCTTTACCGTTTTCTTTTACTTCTTCTGTAATTATCTCACATGACAAAACCCCCCACCTGTTTCCAAACCCTTTTTCTCTCTCCAACGACGGACATCACCGGCGACACACCTACGGCCAGTCATTGGAGCTTTGTTTGCGTCAGAATATATATCTACTATTCCAAAAGTCTTTCAATCGTGGATCCTAGTCTCAAGAATAAATGGAAACAATGGATGCACCCGTTCCGGAAGTTCGAACCGAAGGCGAACCTGATGTTGTGGAGGAATTAGGGCAAAATGTTGATCAGATCATCGTGAAGGTTGATGAGGTACGCTCTTTGTTGGTGAATCTTCCGATTGTATAATTTTCCCAGTTTATATACACTCCATCTTCTTAGGTTACATAAGAATGACGTATGGTTGAGTCAAATAAAGATTTCTTTTAACAGCTTCAACAATAATCCAAATAAATTCATCTTTTTACTAGAACGCTCCACTCAACCAAGCATCAAATTATCATCAGTTCACATTGTAATCATATTCGATAGTGAAACATCGGACACAATTGCCCCTGTTGCTGATGATGTAAAGAAGCGTAAGAAGTCTCCTGCTTCAAGGCCTGTAGAATGAGGGACCGGAGGGGCATATGAAGGTAAATTAACGAATTTTTAATTTATTTATGTGCATTGAGTTTTATAATAAATAATTCAGATCTTGTTTCAGGTGTCAATAACGAGTCTCAGTAATCTCCTGAGCTTCTACATCCCACTGTGCATGAGCTTTGTAAAATCTTAAAGTTTCCAGTATGTTACTTTTTGACAATAATACAAATGTAACATTTTTAATTATATTTTCTTGACTTAAAAAATAAAAATACAGGAGGATGTCAAGAACAAAGTGGACGGATTTCTTGATTTTGTTCTCAAGAATTATAATGTCAGTAGGGAAGATACTTCTACTCTACAAGCCTTCATGATATCACTGGTATGAACTTTTTTTAAAGCCCTAATTTTTCACATTATTAATGTATTTAATTTTAATGGAGTCATTCATCGTTTCAGTGTTGGATTGGGGCCTCACTAGCAAAACATAAAATTGATAGAAGGGAGTCTTTTGACCTTGCAAAAAAGCAATTGAATTTTTATTGTAAGGAAAAACAGGTGAATTTTGTTCACTTGAAGCTTGAAGAAGCTAAAGAAGATTTCTTAAAGCAAACAGAGACAGAAGAGAACATGTTGAAATAAAAGATTTGAAATCACCACCTCAAGATATCTGCACAGAGTCAAAGTCAACCGAGCATAAAATATCAACTGAAAGTCAACAGAATCAAAATTTTGAAGTATCAGTTGCAGAAAATTTGGAATCTACCGAAAAGCTAAGTGAAGAGATGGAGGAGTTTAATAGGGAATGGTTTGACAGAAGGGCATATTTGGAAAATAAGTACAAAGTGGATAAAGCTATTATTCATCATTTGTATAAGAACCCTTCAATAAGATCAGAGAAGTTAAGATTATTAGACAAAGAATTTGCGAAAAAAATAAAGAACATGAAAGAGATAAAGATGTTCACCTCAAAGAGCTCAAGTCAACACTCCTTGCTGCTGACGTGACAGCTAAACCCGAAACTTCAGTTTCTGTTGGGAATCTGGGTGATAAAATGCCTGAAACGCCCTTGGAATTGGATGGTGGTATATAAATTTTGTCAGCACATCTTATATATTTGGTGTAGTTGTGTATATAAAAAAATAGGTTATTAAAACACTCTCACGCACACAGATAACAAAAGAAGTTGCTAAAGGATTTTTCACATGGGTATCAGTTGCCTGCATTACAATTTATATTGTTGAGGGGAAAGAATTCAAAGGTTCTATTGGCTGCAAAAAATCTGTTGCAAGAAATGGTGGGTAAATGCACACAGTAGCAGTATATTTTAGATGAAAAAATTCATTTTAGTTGATGTATTTATGTTTGAGAAAAGAATTATGCTATTTATTGCCTTCCATCAAAACAGAGGCAAATAACACAACACATTCACATCACAGTTGACGTATATTCTTTCATATAACTTTCTTTTCTTTATGTTAATAGAATTGTGATGGGATGTGTGGACTAGTTACTAATCCATAAATTTTCTTGGAAATCCCAATTCTATCACTGGATAGGTCAGGTAATTAGTTGTATATACCCTGTTTTTATTTTATTTATTTCAGCGATTTACAAGTTTTTAACTTTATTTCAGGGATTTACAAGTTTTTAACATTATTTCAGGGATTTTGTATACTCTTGACAAGACTAGATTGCTTACCCATTGTTGCTATTTACTTTTCTCGTGGCATGGTAATAAGTAATAAAAATCTACTTTCTTTTTTTCTTTTTATTAAGTAGTAACATTATTTCAGGGATTTTGTATACTCTCAATTTTGTTTGAAATGTGATGCTATTTTTTGCTAATAGGTTGGAGTAGCAGAGATGAAAGTTGTTATTGAAAGAACTGGTGGGCTTGCTGTTTTAGCTGAAAGTTTTGGACATTCGGTTTTCAAGGATTCAATTAGACGTGTCTTTGACAAGGGTGAAGAATCTCTTGGTCTCTCTCATAAGTGAGTATTTTCATTCTTTGCAATCTGCATTATATGTTTATGTAGCCTCCTACTTTCATTTCTTTCTTATTAACACATTATACATTGAAAAACTACCCAATTATAGGCTTATAGCATTGTACTTTCAGTTTGTTTTCTTATTAGGACATAGTACTTTGAAAATTGTAATAGGAAAAAACAAAGTAGAAGGCTATAACAAATAAATCAATGGAAGTACATTGATATTACTTGCATTTAACCCTTTTAATTATGAATATATCATGCATTTTTCATCTTTTGAAAATATTCACTAATTTCAGTGGGGAATTTGAGATCAACTATTCAAAGGACATTAAAATTCAAGGGATTATTGGACCTTGCACATCTTTGGAGAAGGTTGTTTACTTGATCTTACTTATATTTATACATCAAACAATACTATTTACTCCAAAATCCAAATGCAAATAATATTTCAGATTCATTATTAATTTTTTTTTGTTTATTTTATGCAGAAAGGTCCAGCTGTTGCAAGCACAGTGAGACAGGGGAATACCACAGCTTGGAAGTTGTGTGGACTCGATAAAAATACTTGCTTGATTTTTTTTTTTTTTTTTGATATATCATAAAGTGACAAATCAGATGCTTCATGGAATGTAAATCCACAGTTGTACATTTCTAAAAATTAAAATAGGATGCTATATTGAACAAATCAGCAAAAGGATGTTGCTATTTAGAGAATTTTCGTATAACCTTTCACTTTACTTGTATGATTTCAGGATGATAGATGCGTTTGGGGAGATTAATGTCTTTGACTTAATGTCTATTTCAGCCTTTAAAAGTACTTTGCCTTGATAGACAATGAGGGGAACCTCTTACCATATTTCATTGTTGTTGCAAAAAGAAATAAGGTTGTACTCATGTATGCTTGGCTAACATCTTACTATATTTCTAAAGTACATTGTCTTTTTTAGAGTATGTTATGTAACATCAAACATGTAAGTCAATGAGAATTAATGTCTGTTTTTGTGAAGTTATGTTAATGTCTATTTCAGCCCTTACATCTCGTATACATCAAGATATATGAAAGATATAACTTAGTTTTATTTTCAGGTATGCTTGGCTAACATCTTGGATATGTATTATGAAGATTTATTCACACTCCTTGATAAAAAGTTGCCATACAATGCAGCTTCCATGACTATTGACATCTTTGGATTTGTTGGTTTATGTGAATCTGATGGTTGCATTATTCAAATTTGCAGGTCTTGTTGATGTGTATAGTGTCAAGTAAAGTAGCTCGGATGTTGTGAAGGTAAGCAACGAGTTCTTGTAGTTCGACGATTATTTGTTGATGACTTTCATCTCTTTCACATTTGATGTACTACATTTGTCTACTATTGGAACGTTTATTTGTATGACATTAACTTTTGTGCAATGAATTGTATGTTTTTATATGGTATTTTATGAGACATTAAATGCAAATTTAATTTGTATTATGCGTAAATGAATATTGTAAAGGCACGTCGTATATGTATATTGTAAATGGTTGCTGAAGTTTATGACACGCAAATGCGTGTCATCTTCATTTATGACAGGGGCTTTAATGATACGCAATGCGTGTCCTAAACGCGCGTCGTAAGGTTACGACACGCAAATGCGTGTCGTCTTCCTTTATGACAGGGTCTTCCTTGATACACATTGCGTGTCGTAAATGAGCGTCGTAAATGCGTGTCATAACTGCGCGTCGTAAATGCACGTCGTCTATAGACGATGCGCAAAAGCGTGTCGTCTCTCGTTATGACATGGCCTTCCTTGACACGTATTTGTGCGTCGTCTGCGTGTTTTACGACACGCATTGCGCGTCGTCTGAGCGTTTTACGACACGCATTGCGCGTCGTAAAAGGCTGTTTTTCTAGTAGTGCACAGGTACAGTGAGGCAAAACTCACCTCAATATGAATGTAGGTAGCCACTGTAGCAATGAAAAACTCTTCCAACTTCAACTTTCTTCCAATCACCTACAGGAAGATACTTGAGTCAATACCCGATCACATATCATAGTCACTTGCAACATTAACCACCTCACATGAAATGACGATTAGGATTAACAAAGAACACTTAACCCATTAAGGACTTAATCACCTAAGGGTAGGACTGATTAATGTTTAACTTAGTCATTCTCGGGTATAATAATAATAATCCAATCAATAGCCCAAATACACGCCCGATCATTGTCCAAATAGAGCTTCCCGGTTCTAGGGTTTTCCACATAAAATTATAATTAGGTTAGTGTTCCACACTAAACCCGTAAGGACTTAATCCATTAAGTTCAATATTACATTAAGTTAATTGTAGGGGAATTATTAATTATTATTTAAAGTTGAATTAACAGCTTTAATGCAGGTCCCGACCAACTCCAAAAACTAGAGTTTCTTGACATTAGGGTTTTCTAAACCTTAATTAGGGTTTCCAACTCCTAAAGCTAGATGATTAGTTAACTAAATAAATATATATTTAATAAATCGTGCACCACCCTCTGCCATCTCGGATAGTGATGGTTGATGGCGGTTCGCGGCGGCAGCCACCCACACACAGCGGCGATTCGAGTGATAATTCCAACAATCCAAACACACATACAAGTTCTTATATCATTCACACACATTAACACCAAACAGAATATCAAAATGTCTAATACAGCAACCAAGATGGTGGCAAACTGCGGCAGAAGGTGGCAGCCACCACCTCACGGTGGTGGTGGTGGTGGGTTTTCCTTGATTTTCCGGCCGAGGACTATACATGCAACATGACACCATCACACACACACAACCACCCACACACAGTGGTTGGTGGTGGCAGAAAAGAAAATAGGGGCGGCAACCACCATGGTTGGCTGCTTTGGTGGTTCTTTAGATTTTCCGTCCAACAAAACACATCTATACCCACTTCACTGCTTGCAGCAGCAATACACACACATACACACACACACACACACATGAACACGAGTTCCAACCTGAAACACATACCTAAATTCAGCCTCCCTTGCGGTGACATGTGGCAGTTAGAAGAGATGGCGGCAATAGAACAGTCGCCGGAGCGGCAGCGGCGATGTAGCAGCAGAAAAAGACGGAGAAGGAGAGGTGGTGTGATTCTTAACCGAGAGCAACAACAACGACCACCACATGCCTTCGTTCTTCCGACCAACTCCACAGTCACGGTGTCGGCTTCAACTCGTGTCTTTGTCAGCGACGACCTCTCCTGGCTTCGGTGGTTCACTATGGCGTCAAGGAGGTGGCGGATGGGAGTTTGGGGAGATAAGGCGACGACTGAAGAAGGTATTGTAGGGTTAGGGTTAAGTGTACCAGTTAGCAAGAGCGTGGAGGGGAACGGGTTTAAGTCCCGTCTCCAACTCCAAACTTCATACAAATTTTGACACCTCTGTCCCCTCCCTCTCTATTCTTTTTCACATCTAGTCCAATATTTACTCTTTGGCCCCTGCTTCCAAAAATCTATTCAATACAAGTCCATATGTTACAATATAGATCCCAATTTCCAAAAATTATAACATTTAACTCCTTATGGCTAACACTGATAAATTATTACGAATTTAGGGCTAAAATAAAATATAAATATAAATTACATCTCGGGGTTTTAGGGTTTATTATTCATTTATTTTATTTATTTATTTAATTTTATTTATTTTAAACCGAATGTTACACTCTTATGGATAGATGGTGGGATTTGGATTTTTCAATTTTCTTGTCTATCTCTGAATGGCTCTCGTGGATTGATTCTGTTGGATCATCTCAATTTGAAAAAATGTTTGGAAACGATTGTTTTTATTATGTTTTGGGTGATTTGGTCGATTCGAAATCGATTGTTGTTCACAAAGATTAAACCTGTCCAGGCGGATAGTTGAGATTTCATTCAATCTCATTCGTCCTTTTAGATTAATTCTAGATTAATTCTAGGTGTTCTAATTTTAATGTTAAATGGATTTATTGGGTGCAAAATCCTTTGTAATTACTTAATGTACTTTTATTCTAATTTTGGCTAGTTTTTAATTTAAAGTCGTAGTTATAAAAAAAACATATATTATTAATTTACGCGAAACTTTTGTTATTAAATGTTTATTGTGTATAATTTATGATTTAATATAATCTTCAACCATTGTTCTGCTTGTTTAATTTAAAAAATATTTATTATGTTATTTTACAGTTTTGATTAATAATAATTTTTAAAATACCTATCATTGTTTTTAAGGAAATATATATTTTAATTTATATAAATTGTAGTTAAATATATTTTCAATATTATTTTTTATTATTCTAATGATTAAGAAACTATCCATTTGATATTATTTCTATCATTTAAAAAAAAAATTTTAGACATCTTTAAAGTTGTTGGACATTTCAATATACATTTACATTTATAACTATAGTTAATTTTTTCAATATATTTAAAAAGTGGTCGTGGGCATAATTTAGTATATTTGAAATGTTTAAGTTTTTAAGTTTAACACCATCTTTAAAATTATCAAATACAATATAATGTCGTAGCATTGTGAGACAATCTCCAACCAAACATTACTAAACACTAAAATAATATAAATAATAGTGCAAAAAATATTTCATTTCTAACCATACATTTTTACACATTTTTTTCCACCATAAAATATATGTTATAGGATATTCCATTTTAGCCTTAATAGTTTGTCAAAAACTTTTATAGTTTGTCAAAGACACATTTAACTTATTAGGTATTTACATACTTATTTTCATATTTTTGTTGTTTGATTACATTTAGAATATATCTAATCATATTTAACAAACTATAAATTATTAATAATCACTAGGGATGAACAGTGTGTACCAAATCCCGATCCCGTATCGGTACCGTACCGGAACCGGTACCGAACCGTACGAAATTTACAAATGTGGGACGGTACTTGGTACTTCAAATTTACGAAATTTGGGATTCGGTACTGATACTAGTACTGAAAACCGGTATCAATCCCAGTATCGGTATCGGTGATGTGAATTCGGTTCGGAACCTCGAGATTGACTTTTGATTAAATTCGGTTTTCAGGAATCGGGAACGATACAGGTCGGTACCGGTTCTGTCTCACGCTTATCCCTAAATCACTATATGTAAAATATACCTAATCATAATTATTAAACTAAAAACAAATAATGAAAATCTTCAATAAAGTCCCAAAATTTCGGCCAAGTTTACATTTTAGTCATAAATTAACTTTTTTACGAAAAAAATCCTAAAATTGGCAAAAGCTTACATTTTAACCATTTTTTATCGGTTGGAACCGGTAACAAATTAATTTGTGACTATTTCGTAAACTGACCCAAAATATTGTTACTTATCTGCTAACAAAAATATTATGACTTTTCTACAAAAAAAAAACGTTGTTGTTGTTGTTGACGCCGTTGTCGTCGTCGTCGTTGTTGTTGTTGTTGTTTTATTACAAATGTAAATAAGTAATACTTAACAATTTAAAAGAAGTTGTCTATTTATAAAATTGTTTATAATAGCCCATATCAAAATTCAAAAGTATTAATTATAATATCTTGCTT